CCCCCCAAATTTTTAGGGGGGGCGGGGGGGGGTTTTTTCTCTCTCCCCCGCAAAAGCAGGGTGTTTTTTTTTCCCCCCCCCCCCCCCCCCCCCCTTTGCCCCCCCCCGCGAGGGGGTTCAGGTAAATGAACCCCCCCCCCCCCCTTTCCCCCCCCCCCCCCTTGCCCCCCCACCCGAGCGTGTTCAGTCAATGAACAAAAAAGAGAGCGTGGTCACCTCGAGCCGCTCGCAGAGGCGCCGGCCCCGCCGCAGCGCCGTCTCGTCGTCGCCCGCGATGATAAAGGCGAGCATGCCTAATCAACCAGTTGCTTCGTGGCTAACCCATGAACTAACTGATTGGATCTAGGAAATGAAGGCGAGCACGCCTGGTTAATGAACTAGTGCTAACCCATGAACTAACTGATTGGATCTAGGAAATGAAGGCGAGCACGCCTGGTTAATGAACTAGTGCTAACCCATGAACGAACTGATTGGATCTAGGAAATGAAGGCGAGCATGCTTGGTTAGCAAACCAAGCAGTGGCTAACCAGTGAACTAACTGATTCGGAACTGAGGGCGGGCACGCCTCCGAAGGACTGGGCGCGGCGAGAGCGGCAGCCCGGCCCGCCTAAGAACAGCGACTCGCGACCCACGGCTAGCTACCCGAGTTCAGCTCCATTGGGCGGAGCAGCGGCAAACTCCGCGCCCGAGCTGAAGACGCGCTTGGCGAGCTCATGGTCCGGGTGGGAGGGCAGGCCGGGGTAGAAGACCTGGTTCATTCATTCCTCAATCAAGTGTGAATTACTAATTCGTCGGGGAGGGCAGGCCGGGGTAGAGGGACCTGCTCCACCAGGGGCGACGCCTCCAGCAGTTTCGCCACTCGCATCGCGTTCTCCCCGTGCCTAATTAATTAGTCAATTCGGGACCTGTCACTAATAACCAACAAATTCGCCACTCGCATCGCATTCTCCCCGTGCCTCTCCATCCGGACGTGCAGGGTGCGGAGACCGCGCGCGAGTAAGAAGGACTCCAGGGGGGCGAGCGGGGCGCCTGATTAGATATTAACTAATAAGGAATGTCTAACTAGTAAATTCATTAAAAGGGCTCGAGGGGGGCGAGCGGGGCACCTAATTAATATTAATAGTTCATGTCTAATAAGTAATTCATTAGAAGGACTCGAGGGGGGCGAGCGGGGCGCCTAATGAAATATTAATAGTTCCTGTCTAATAAGTAATCATTAGAAGGACTCGAGGGGGCGAGCGGGGCGCCCAGCAGCTTTTGCACCTTTGCAAGAGCGTGCAGGAACTCGCCAGACTCGGTGGTGGCGGCGCCTGTTCACGGCGGGGCGGTGTGAAGACACGCCGTTCACACCGTGCAGGAGCTCGCCAGACTCGGCGGTGGCGGCGCCGGCGAGGATGTCCGAATGGCCTCCGATGTACTTGGTGGCGGAGTGGATCGCAACGTCCACGCCCGGCACCTCGAGGCAGCGAGATTACCCGAGATTACCCGAGATTACCCGAGATTACCCGAGATCACCCGAGAGTGGATCGCGAGATCGCGACGTGTCCACGGCCGGCACCTCGAGGCAGCGCTGGTGGAAGGGGGTGGCGAAGGTGGAGTCGCACATCACCCATGGCTTGGCGTGCCTAGACACTTCCTAGACGCTTCCTAGACACTTCCTAGACACGTCCCCGACATCACCCATGGCTTGGCGTGCCCCGCGGCGGCATGCTTCTTCACCACCTCGCCGACCGCCTCGAGGTCGGTCCGCCGGCAAGTATTAGTAATCAAAGTCTGATTATTAACTATTAATTAGACAGCTTAATGAAGCCTCGAGGTCGGTCAGCCGGCAAGTCGGGTTTGCCGGCGACTCGGTGTACACCACCTACCCGCCAAAGGAACGAACCGCTTCACGGAGAGCCGCGCGGCCTTCGGCGGGGCGTCGCCGTGCGCTCCGCCTTGGTGGAGGGGCGGAGGGCGGCGGCATACGCGGCGGGGTCGGTCGCGTCGACGAGCGAGTACCTCGAGGAGAGAGGGGGAGATATGGCGAGATGCGGCGAGATATGTGGTGTGGGGTGAAGAGCAGCCAAGCTGTCTCTCGGCTGTACCTCGGCTGTACCTCGGCTGTACCTCGGCTGTACCTCGGCTGTCTCTCGGCTGTCTCTCGGCTGTACCTCGGCTGCACCTCGGCTGCATCTCGGCTGTCTCTCGGCGACATCTCGGCGACATCTCGGCGACATCTCGGCGACATCTCACTCGATGCCCCAGTGCTGCGCAAACTCGACCAGAAACTCGTGCGTCCCTCCGTAGACCTGTTCAGTGAACCAGCGCGTGGTCAAGCTGATGCTCGACTCAGCTTCTCGCAGCGTGCCTCCGAAGACCGTGAAGGGGAAGACTGCGTGGTCGCCCGCCTAGAACGGTAGCGCCGCATCACACGTGATTGGCCGCTCGCCACAACCGCATTGCATCGCCACACCATGTGAAGGGCGTCTCTTCACACCTCCAGCTGTGAAACTGGGTGATTGATCTCTCGCCAGAATCACATAGTCTCGCGTGATCGCCCAGCAGCACCGCCCACCACCAATGAGCGAACCACCGACTCACCAATCCACCCATCGCCCGCCGCGAGGACCGCCATTAGTGATCCCAGATGGCGGTTCAGTTCTCGATGGCTGTTCTCGACGACCTCGCCTTGAGGACCGCCATCAACGAAGCGGTGATGGCCGACATGCCAGACGAGAAGAGCATGCAGCCGCCGTCGCTGTCTGGGCCAACGCCCTCAAGCGCCGCCACCTGGAGGCGGTAGCAGCAGCGGTAGGCGACCTCAGCCCGTCGCTCTGACCAGGAGACTGGCAGCAGTGGCGTTGGAGGCAGGTGATGGCAGCACAGAAGGCGAGGTCTGCGCCCGTACGCAGGCTAAGGAGACGGGCGCCCGTACGCAGGCTAAGGAGACGGGGAGCGCAGCCACCTGCCTCGCCGCGCCCTCGTTGGTGGGAGAGCCCCAGCGAGAGTACACGTACCTAGCGGCGGAGAGGAGCCGAGATTGAGCCGAGATTGATCGAGCCGAGCAGCCGAGATCGAGCCGAGATCGAGCCGAGATCGAGCCGAGATCGAGCTGAGATCGAGCCGAGATCGAGCCGAGATCGAGCCGAGATCGAGCTGAGATCGAGCCGAGATCGAGCCGAGATCGAGCCGAGATCGAGTGCAGGCGGTCGCCCGTCCCCGTCGGCGTAGGCCGTCTCGCTCTTGGCGTGCAGCCGCGCGCCATGCGCCGAGTCGTCGAGCTCGAACGTGGAGCCGAGCACGATCGGCAGCGAGAGCGCCTTGACGCGCCGGATCGCGTAGTCGCTGACCTGAAGGGAGGCGTTAGCATGCACGGCTGTAGCAGGGAGCGCTGCGGGCGAGAGTGCGTGTGCCGCTGGTGCATTCGGCGGTGCTCGGCTGCGAACGGAGCAGCGGCGGCGGCGTGGCGTGGGAGAGCGGCACGCGGCGCTGCTTGTGGCTTCGCTGGCTGCGGTGCTCGCCTTGACGACGCTGGCGCAGCGGGTGGCGTAGCCGTACTTGTTCCAGCCCGGACGCGGCGTGCCGACCGGCACGCCGTCGCCAGCCGCGCCGGAGAGGGACGTGTCGCCGAGCAGGGAGGGGTCAATGTCCACCGGCTTGGCCGAGAGGGCTCTCGCCGCGCGGCCAAAGGCCGGCGCGAGCGGGCGAGCGAGAGGACGTGCCGCCGCCAATCGTGGCAGGGCGGCGAAGGCGCGCCGTGCCGCGCCAGGCGGGCGCCGAGAGCTGAAGGTGGAGCATGTGTCGGCGTGGCGCCCGACAGCGGGCCGACAGCAGCTCCGACGAGCTGACTCTCCTAAGCTGTGAATCAGACGCACTTGCCTAATCCCGCTAGGGTGGGCGTGCTTTCACAGTGTGTGTGTGTGTGTGTGTGTGTGTGTGTGTGTGTGTGTGTGTGTGTGTGTGTGTGTGTGTGTGTGTGTGTGTGTGTGTGTGTGTGTGTGTGTGTGTGTGTGTGTGTGTGTGTGTGTGTGTGTGTGTGTGTGTGTGTGTGTGTGTGTGTGTGTGTGTGTGTGTGTGTGTGTGTGTGTGTGTGTGTGTGTGTGTGTGTGTGTGTGTGTGTGTGTGTGTGTGAGTGTGTGTGTGTGTGTGTGTGTGTGTGTGTGTGTGTGTGTGTGTGTGTGTGTGTGTGTGTGTGTGTGTGTGTGTGTGTGTGTGTGTGTGTGTGTGTGTGTGTGTGTGTGTGTGTGTGTGTGTGTGTGTGTGTGTGTGTGTGAGTGTGTGTGTGTGTGTGTGTGTGTGTGTGCATGTGTGTGTGTGTGTGTGTGTGTGAGAGTGTGTGTGTGTGTGTGTGTGTGTGTGCATGTGTGTGTGTGTGTGTGTGTGTGTGTGTGTGGTTTGGGGGGGGAGGGTTGGTGTCTCACCCTGCCCTTGCCCAGCCCTTGCATGCGGAGGAGTCCGCCAGCTCGCCCTTGGGAGAAGTCCGCCAGCTCGCCCGTAGGCTCGCCGAGCCCACTCGGCGCGGCGGCGCTCAGCTCTCTGCGCGCGCTGCTCCGCTGCACCGACCACGGGGGCGCCAACGCCGCCGCGCTGGTGCGGGCGGGCGTCGGCCCAGTCAGGCTCCTCGAGGTGGCCCTCCCGGCGCCGCGCAGACAGGC